TTCTTTGTAAAAACTTCAATTGAATTTCAATAAAGTTAAAGGCATGGCCTCACCGTTAATATTTAAAAAAAAAAAATAAATAAGACCTTATCTTAATAACAAAATAAAATAAAGGGAAAATCTATTTGATGCCTATGGCAATTTTGCCTATATATTAGATAATCGCTATGTAACACAAATTTTTGATCATATATCGTTCGTAATAGAATCTACATATTATTACGTGTTAATGTCCTCTTATATAAATATGCATTAATGATACATTTTATTAAATCATACACGGTCAAGAAAATTTTTTTACCATAAGAATTGCCAGTTCATTATAAAGAGAGTTGGCCATATATTTTTTAAATACTTTTATAAAAAGTCTGCATTGGTCGACATTGTAACCTTGGAATACCTTGCCAGAAGTAACCATTAAATTTTTTTTAATAATGTAAGCTGAGTTTATAGAATTATAGCATATAAAGAAACTACAATTAATTTTTATCTTTATTTTTAAAAAAGGCAACTTTTTTTATCTATTTATCTTTATTCTGTTATAGATATGACTATAATACTATTGAAGTTAATGAAGCTATGTTTAATATGAACTTTTTAGGTGATGAGCCTAATTTTAATATGTAACTTTTGAATAACAAACCTAATATGGAGCCTAATAATGAACCTAATATGAAGCCTAATAATGAACCTGATATGAAGTCTAATAACAAACCTGATATGGAGCCTAGTAATGAATCCGATATAGAGCCTAATAACGAATCTGATATAGAGCCTGTGGAATCTAATATAGAGCCTATGGAAACTAATCTTGACTGTAATGATGAAAGTAGTGATGAAAGTAGTGGCTGGAGTTCAGATGAAGATATTTCATAAATAAGTCCTCTGAATTTACATACTGAGATAACATTTTCTTCATGGACTATCGTTAACAAATCAATAAAAGCTTTTGCTTATCATAATGGTTTTAGTATTCAAAAGTATCATTTTGAAAAGTCAAATGAAAAATGTATTAGACGCACATATTTGTGTTGACACTCCTCTATATATAAGCCTGTAAAAGATAAAAGTTTAGAAAAACAAAGAAACAAAAGTTCTGCTCAGATTGACTTTCCTTAGAAAATTCATATTCGATTTCAAAAAAAGAGTCGTGATTTAAGGGTTTCCTCATTTGTTAATAAGCATGAAAGCCATCTTTTAACTTCAGTAAATTGCCAATTTGCACCTTAATATCGACATTTAACTCAAGAAATTTCTAAAGACATTAAATTTTATACTCAAGAGGGTCACTTAGGAGCAACTGACTAATATCACTTATTAAAGGCTTCATATCCTCACCATACTTTACACAAGAAAGACATCTATAATGCAATACAACAATTTCATAATGAGAGTGATCCAAACTTTAATGATTCTGTATGATTACTTGAATATCTATTGGATCAAAAGCATTATAATAACAATTTGTATGTGGAATATAAGTTTGATCAAAGAACAAATGCATTAACAAATCTATTTTGGATGATGCCACATCAAATTTCACTTTGGGATCATTACTATGATATAATTATTCACGATAATATCGCCAAAACGAATTGTTATGAAAAACCATTATCATTATTTATTTGTATTGACAATAACCATAACTCAAGATTAATCGCTCAAGACATACTCGATGATGAAACTAGAGAGTCTTATTACTGGGTACTAAAATGTGTGTTAAAAGCTACAAACTATGTTGAACCTAATGTCTTTTATGACTGATGCTGATCTGGCTATGGTTTCTGTTATTCCTGAAATATTTTCCAACACAATTTCACTTCACTGTATATGGCATTTGGGACAAAACTTAACAAAAAATCTGAAAAGCAAATTAAGTAACAAATTTGATAGCTTTATGAAAGCTTTTTATCAGTACCATAATTCTCTTTCAATTTCAATATTTGAATATCGTTGGACAGAATTAATTAAAAATTATCCCGATGCAAGTGATTATCTTATCAAAAATTTGAAACCCTGTAAATCTGTATAGGCCAAAGCATTTACACTTAATATTTTTAATGGTGGAATACAGTCTTCACAAAGGGCTGAGGCAACTAATTCTGTTATTAAAAAACAGTTAAATTATCGAAACATTAGCCTTTACGATCTATTTATGAAACTTGAAAAAAAACTTGCAACTGAAGTTATCAATAATGCATTTATAGATTGGAAAATGTCACAATGTCTTTCTAAAAGTAATCGGAATGTTGATGTGTTTTTAAGCCTATTGATGATATTATTAAAAATTTTTTAATGCCAACAAGTTTAAAAAAGCAACAGGATCAAATGAATCTTAGTGCACAATATTATGTAACAAGAGTTTCACATGAAGATCAATATAATAAGCAGGTAGATTAATTATCTCTAGTAAAAATGAATGAGCTAAGTAGCAAAGCTAAGCAGAGCTACTGATACAAATTATTATTTATTGAATTACAGTAGTTTTAGCTTATTCTAATTAGATTTTTTTATATCTTTAGATTCAAGAAATAGATGATAAATGTATCGATGATATATTTGACTATCCTCAAGCTTTGACATCACATATTTTTTAGCAATTTAATAATTCGATTACTATGGTTTGGAATATGATCAATATTAATGAATCTACTTTTCTACAATTTGTATTTCTTCTTTCCGATGGCACATTTGTCTGCACTTGCATGATGATAATTTCTTATGGAATATTATGCTGACATTATTTATGAGTTATGATAATGTATTCATCAGCTACATTTCATATAAGTATGATACATTCTTGATGGTTTAAAAATACAATTAGTGACAGTGCAGTTGAACAATTAGCAGTAATTTCGATTTCTCAATTTGATATTAGCAATTTCAAAGTTGGTGTACAACCTAATTATGATACTCAAGCTAAAACCAACACTATTTCATTGTTACGTGTGGGTATTAAAGATCTAGACCAGAATTTAGATAATTATCAAAACATTCAAAAAAGATATTATACAAATCAAGAAAAGATCAAAAAATGGACATTTTATAGTAAACTTTGGGATGTTGCTTGTAAAGCTACAGAGATCGCTACAAATACTGAAGATTATAGTCTTTTAAAAATACTTAATAATTATATAAATAGATCTATACATGAGTCAAGCTTTCAAACTGAATCTCAAATAAGTAGTTCTAGCAAAGAGAATCAGGTTATAGAAGAGAATAATGAAGTTAAACAAATTCAAAATCCAATTAAAAGATATGGAAAAGGAAGACCTTCTGGAAGACCTACCAAAAAATTGCGCATACAGAATAGTTTAGAAAAAGAACAATTAGCTACAGCTTCTCAAAATATTGATAATAATAACTCTAATATCAAAAAATACAAATGTAGTTTTTGCAATTCATTGTCTCATATGAAGGCATGTTGTTCTTTAAATCCTAAAAAGAATAGACAACTGCTACAAGAACTTCCATTATAATAACAAGCTGGATAGTAAGAAATAAAAAATACTATATGCATATGTGAGAGTTGTCATTTTATTTTTATTTTCCTGTATAATTTTTAAGTCTATTTGAATTATATTAATAAATAGTAATTTATCTTTAAATATTTTATGCAGTTAGTAAAACAATATCATTGAGTGAAGTCATGAATTCCTATTAGTTTAGGGTTAGGGTTCTACTAGTAGGTTAGGATTCAGTTTAGAGGGCTATAGTTATAGATGCTGGTAAAACTGGTGACTATCTAAAATCTAATTGGCTATTATATTAAATTTTATCAGTTTCATCACCATTCACCAAGAGTTTCACCAGTTTCACTATCATCTATAAAATTAGTACACAGAAGGCATTTCTCAAAATAAACTTTTGAATTATAAGCATTTTTTGTTGATTTGATTTGTTTATGCTTCTTTTGCATTACATATGAGCTTAAAATCTGATTAGCTAGTGAAAGTTTTAGACTAGTAATTTAATTACTATTTAGCAAACATATGAAAGCAAATGATAAAAATATTGATTATTTCGAACAGTATTAATACATATACAGCATTTAGATAGAGTTAAACTTGATCTGGGTCAAAGTAACTTCCAGAAGAACCTTAGGGTTAGTGCGGGCCAGAATTATGTTGATGCTGGCTGGGGTTTTTAATTAATTTGATCTGGGGTCAATGTAACTTCAGAAGAACTTTAGGGTTAGTGCGGGCTGGAATAATGTTGATACTAGCTGGGGTTTTTTAATTGATTAATTTGCTTTAGGTCAAATATGTATATACATTTATTCGATTACTTATATATATATGCATTGATATTACACAAAATGCTTTCTGGGCAAATTTGCTCGGGCGTCAAATAGCAACACTCTAAAATAAAATAAAATATTTAAAATTATTTATTAATTTTAAAATTTTAAATATTTAATAAGTTAAAAATTTTAATACTATACTAGTATGTATCCTATTACTTATGCTGATGGGCTATTGTTATGCATTATATATACTGTACCTCAGATGTCAGATGACATCTGAATTAAAATTAGAGTAAGATAAAACTTACAGGATAATTTAGGCCAATTATTGCAGATTATTTAATACTGGTCAAAATAGCAGACTATATTGTAAAAATATATTATATATTTTAATTCTAACTACTAACAACTACACTACATCTAGATCTAATTGCTATATTTTTTTTTTTTTTTTTTTTTTAAGTTAAAGTCCCTATCTTGGGAGTTGTGATGTTTTTATTCAAGTATATTAGGACATGGCATACCACCAGGAGCTCACCTTACATTGAAGGTTACAACTAGTCACATGTGCACTTTTGGTGCCTAATTTAAGTAGTCCGCTTACACATTACTATATAAGTTTTATACTAGTTGCCATACCTGCAAGCCAACTAGAGGTCTTGCCTATTTAAACCCTCTGCATATGCAGTCCTTTTTGTATCACAAGAACATCTCAAGGCATCACCTATTCAAGTTCTCGATGCTTATCGGTCTTCTTAGGACTACTTTATTCTTGATAGAAAACTTACTAAAGCCTTTATGTCCTACACATATAGACCTAGTTTTATGCAACACACTATAGTTACCTAACACTTGCAGTCACAGGGGTTACCTGTTTAATCACTACATTACACTATTTCTATTCTTGTAAAGTTTACTAGAACCCCAGTACTCATCTTTTTAGCATCTTCTCCATCATTCTCTACTAGCCACAACTCAGAACCATCGGTCTCATTCCAGACTACTAATCCAGATGGCTCAGCATGGTATACTTCTGTATCCTTTTTCTCTAGCAAACCTGGCAGCCTAGTTGGTTATGTGCTCCTCTACACATATTTGTCATTCAGTTTTAATTTTCAGTTTCTATAAAGGTGTTTCATGGGCTTCAACTAGTCTGATGGTACTGTCAAAAGTTCATGCTACCTTTTTATTCAGAAATTTCCAAGTGGGTTTCTGTCACCTCAGTTTCTTAGTCTTCTATGCTCAGTGGTCTTATTATGAGTTTGTACTGAAGTCTTATGCAACACCAGTTAACATTCCTCTATGTACATGTAATGTTACAATTTGCATAGATGCCTTGAGCTTCCAAAGCTGGGGGGACCCAGCCTGGTGTACCTAAGTAACAGCCACATGAGGCCAACCGATTGACAGGAGACAATTACCATAACGTAGATATAATTTCTGAATTTCATCGTAGGTAGGATTTGAACCTTAGACCTGCCACTTGAAGGATGACAACCCAATCACTACACTAGGATTACCATTCTCCCTAATTGTTATATTTAACAGATCAGAAAAGAATAGTTTATATAGTAAATTTCTCTAACAAAAACTTTATTAAAGATGATTTCTTGTACTGATTTTTGAGAAGTAAATGACTCAACAGCAGACAGTACCTAATCTCCTCTTACTTGTAATCAATCATAAATTAAATTATTTATACTGAATTTAATTGTTATAGATATAATCTCTTACCAGTTTTAATATATATATAACTTTATAGTCTCTGCTATAAAGTAACTTTTGACAAAACAAATATTTGTTTTGAATTTTCTTGATTATAAAATCTGGTTTGTAGTTTAGAAAACCTGTGTTAGCCCAAATTTAAACTTATGTTATACAATCTTCACTGATCTGAGTACAGAAGTATATTACTGTATAATTTTTATTATTCAGACTAATTCAGAAGAGTATTTAAATTATTTATACAGAGTAAATTAAATGTAACACATAAGATTTTAATATATTAGATAAAAAAAATAATAAATTATATATATATAAGCTATTTTAAAAAATCATATAAAGGGGTGTGGTAATCTAGTAAAGTGGTCAGGTTATTAATCTCCAAGTGACAGATTCAGAGTTCAAATCTCAGTATTAATAAAAAATTTAAAAATTCTTTCTGTATTATAGTTAACTGTCTCTTGCAATTGGTTGGAATAAGATATCTGTTACCTGTGTTATGCCAGCATGACTGATAGGTCACATGACATTTGTGTAACAATCACATGACATTGTCTTTTGGGACAAGATCTGTAATTATATGAAGAAATACAAACTAGTACCAGATAGTACAAATCTACAATAAGTCTTTGTAATTATTTAAATCATAGGAACCAAAAAAAGGAAGATAAAAGTCTACTTGAAAGACCTGAATAAAGAGGTAATCCAAACTTTTGATAGTGTTACTGTAAAGACTAGACTTATAAAATAGAGCTAGAACTTGTAAAACTAGGCAAATATGCTGGTCTTTGAAAAGAGACCAGATGAACCAACCAGGTTATCAGAATTTCTAAGTTCTGGAGAAAAAAAGTACATGTCAGCAAATATGTAAACCAGAGATATATAGTTATGACCTATCTTTCCAAGCTATCTGAAATGGCAGCTTGGTGGAACTTGAATTGAATATGTAAGTAGTAAGAATATATTGTAAAGTCAGTACTGGAATTGAGATGAACTCTACAAGAGCATAGTAATTTAATAATATGCTCTGATTGCTAGTATTGGTCTTAGTTATAGCAATATCAAATCAGTTGTAAGAATAAAATGCAGAAGATTCTGGAAGGTTTAGTACAAGGTTAAAGATTCCAAAGAACTGCTTTAAAGACTTAGTGACCATAGCATATTTTTACTAACATCAGTTAAGTCATTGGTAAGCAAAGGTAAGTGAGTAGATACAGAAACTAGAATAGTTAAATAGGAAATCTACAAGCAGGTTTCATGTATAACAGCTAGTGTAGAACCTTCAGATGGACTACTTAAATTAGATAATAACTAAAGTTGTACAAGTAGCTAGTTGTACACTCTTTTTATAGTTGCTCTCTGTAGTTATAATACAACTATTAGCCAAATATACTATCAATAAAATCCTAGGTTACAAGTACTCATCTTACAATTTATAGTTATATTTGTAGAATTAATTATTACTAGTATTAAATTTACTATTTTAATTTTATATTACTAATTTTATTTAGTTCTATATATAGCATCTAAGTTTATATTTGCATACAATTATTTTAGTAACTACTTGTGATTAGAGCATATTATTAAATCATTATAAAATAGGAATATTTTTTAAATTTAATATAATATCCTAGTACTAAAGATATTGTTTTTTGTAATTATATTTATATATCTTACTTATATGTTTTATTTAACTTTGTTTTTTCTGCTTCTACTATATCTAATAATATCTTATTCTTTATATTTCTTATCTTTTGTTTCTATATAATTTTCAAATTAGTTCTATTTAGATATATTTGATCTTTATAATCTTTCATTTTTAGTATGTTTATTATTAATTTTTTTTAAGATGTTCTGCCAATAATTTAAAAACTACAATAAACTATATATTAAATTAGACCTATTATTATTATTAGTCTTCTAACTAATTTATATCTTAAGCCAGATTTGCTATTACTGTTCTTGCAGATGTTTTAGATCTTAGTATTATATAGTAACTTAGTACTGTATTTAACCTTCAAAATGCTCTTTTCTATAATAGAGACTAGAACTTATTATATATATAAAAAGAACAATTCTAATTATATATAAAAAGTTTTTTTAATTTTAGTAATATTATACTACTATATATTATAAGTTTATTTAATAATATCTATAAAACAATTCTGGTTATGTTTAGAAAGTTATACTAATTCTAATAATGTTATACTTTCTTGCAGATCTTATCTTAAATTGATTGATTAATTTCAGTTTTGTTTATTATAAACTTTTATATAAATATAACCAGAATCTAATTTGATGTTTTTTCTTATACAAAGAAGTTATATACCAATTTTTAAGATTTTTTTTTATATTTAGATTATTTAATTATGCTAAAAATGTCTTCAATTTTGATTAGACTAATCTTTTAATATAAACTTTCTCATATTTATTACTTCTTTTATTATTTCAGTCTTGATTATTTTCAGAATATTTATTCAATTAAATTTTTTCTTGGATCTTAATTAGAACTTATTTATACAATCTATCAATTATAATTCTAAGCAAATATTTCACAAATTGGATACAAAAATATTAATACTACCTATATTAGAAGGTATAAGAATGTTAATACTATTCTAATTTTAAGAACTTATATATGTAATCTTTTTATAACTATAATTTTTTGTAATTCTACTGTTATATATAATGTCTGCACTTTATGATTAGGTCTCCTTCTGAAAATTTCTTTTATCCAAATTTATACCTGTACTTGAACTTTTTACAAACTTTTATATCTAATTAATGACTTTAATAAGTTACAAAAACAAAATGTCTTCAGTCTAACTTGAACTGTTAATCTTGTTTGTAAAATGCTTAAAAACTTACCTGCTAAGCTATGGAACTCAAACCCTTTTTTAAACTTAAATTACAAACTAGATTATTGTATATTTTGTATTATTTAAGTTCTTAATAAAGAAAACCCAAATTACTAAAAAAAAAAATATATTTAATTTAATAACAAATATATATATATACAGCTCAAAATTCTAACAAAAAGATTTCTTGCAAAGTTTTAGTATATAAACTATACTTTGTTTGCCTTATAGAATTAACCTTATTCTAATGTCAAATGTAATTTTGCTTATAAAAATAATTGTTATATGTTATCTAATTAATATATATTTACTACAAATAGTTTTTTTTTGTTTATATGTAATATATCCGTATCCGTATCCGTATATGTAGTATGATATTTTTTATGCGTATGCTGTAAATTTGATTAACTAATATTAAACCTTTAAACTAAACCAGGTAAATTGGTTAGATCAACTATTAAAACAAACTATTAAGACGTTTAACGTATTTAAACTATATATATACTTTAATAAAATATACAACATTGATGAATTGGGTTTTACTTCAATGCCTAAAAAATTTTTTAAACAAAACTTTACAAGTTATTTATTATAAAACTCTCGGATAAAAATTTGAATAAAAAGATATATTTACTTATTTATTTGACATATTCTTTATTACACGAATTTAAAAAACAACTTACTATTTTAAAATGAGGCTAAAAGTCAAGCTACTTTAACAATTATTGTTCTTTGAGCAATATGTTGATAAAGAAATTCATTTAACCATTTTAAATAAAAATCAAACATTAACACAACATATGAGTTTCCAAAAAGAGCTTTTTAAAACGCATACACCCTGTACTGAATTTTCTTGATACATAAGATAGCTGACGAAATCACGTGTCCTCGCAGATTGTATTACATATAAGCACTTGAGAGCTAAAACATTTAAAGAATCTATATAGTTCAAACACAATTGTTAATTGATGACGTTTATAGTTGAACAATGGGGCCAAAAGGTACGATTCATTGTTGCGGCGCCACTATATGTATAAAGATTCCCAAAGATACCAAACGTGCATCATTTTTCCTAAAGAATATTTTTTTTTTTACATCACACACATAATACTAAATCAGAGGATTATTTCGCACAAACAGATGCACATCAAGAAATATATAAAAAGATGGAATTCTTGCTTAGTAACATAATCATAATCTAATAATTGTGTATCAGAAAAAAAAAATAGAGAAATTAGAAAATTATCCTTTTCCAATAGAAAAAAATAATAATGGCATATAGAGGAACCGCACAAATGACAGTCCCTCAGACGAGGAATGAAGAGAGTCCAGGTCCAGGAGAATGGAGATTTGGCTTGTTTGGCTGCTTTGACGATTGTGGATTATGTAATGAAATCTTTAAAAAAACTATAACATTAAAAAGAATCTTTCTTACATATTGACATATTTTTTCGTATTATACAAAATATCTACGTTTAATAAGGCATGACTACGTTTTGCTGTCCGTGTGTCACTTATGTAAGTACAACTATACAAAGATTTTTAGGTACTACTATTCGCACCATGGATTTTTGCTATTCGAGATATATATATACATTCATGGTATGAATAGCAAAGTCTATGGTGCGAATAGTGTACCGATTTTTGATAAAAGCTCTTTTGCAGATTTGTATGATTTATAAATAACACATTAATAAATTATAGGGTCGAACTAAAGATAAAATAAATCCAGAATCTGGTTATTGTTTGAATTGTGTAGTTTGGTGTGCGGGTAAGACATCAATTGATATAGTATATAATAAAGCAAATAAATAGTAACGACAATCATGATTTAATATGGCAGTGTCGCACCTCGTGGGACCATGGTTCATGGGATACAGGAACCGTGGAGTGATCAGACGCGGGCGGAACATTCCGGTAAGATCTCTAAGCAAGAAAGGAAAAGAAGTTCTTAAATGACATGTATAAATGACGTTTAACTTTTTACGAATATTAGGGTACTACGTGTGGAGATTGTTGTGTACATTGTTTTTGTTCGCCTTGTGGGTTAGTTTTCTTTTTAATCTTATTTTATGCATATTTAAAACACATAATTAGTATATAATTAATCAGGAGTAATTTCTTCATGTAGTCTTATCCAAGAAGCAAGAGAATTCGTGTGATTTCCTGAAATGTTATGAATATTTTCGATGTTTATAAAATGTCATCGTTTGATCAGTAGATCTGGTCCATTCTTTATAGCTATATCATGCTTTGGCATCCTTGTACTTATGTTCGATATTTCACTCATTTGTAATAAATCAAATCTTTAACGACACATTTATCAGTAAAATTTGAGCACGTGATATTCTAAGCCGTTTTTTTTACATAATACAGCAGTGCAACTTATTCAGCATTGCTCTGAAAGTTTTAGATGTAACAATTACGTATTTAACAACGTAAAGTATCCGAGTTTGGTGGTTTATATTCGAAAATACGTAATTTCATGTATTAAACGCCAACGGATACCACGTCAGGTAAGAACTAGTATCTAACATTTCATGTTCATAAATTGGCAATTATAATATTCAAATATAACAAATATTAAATTGAGACAAGAATAGTTTTCTAATATGCATAGAACCTTAACATATTTAGTTGGCAACTCATTAAGAATTTATTAAGCATCATACACACTTTCAAAATAAATAAATAAATAAATAAATATTGGACATTGAAACATAAAAGAAAGCCTTTTACTCGGTCCACACGTGCAAGTAAACTTTATTCGCGTAAATATTAAGCAACTATGATGTATTTTTCGAATTTATAATTTTCATAAATAAATTGCTTGGCGTTTTTTCTTTTAATTTTGCATTTTTAATTCTGTCATTCTCTGAATTAATTTTTACTTTTTTTTAATTTCATCTTTCTTTAAAATTGTCTGCAAAGAATATTTGATATATTTTTTGCAACCTAATAATAACACCTTTTGAATGATTTAAGAATGGTGCGACGGCTTACTAACCAATATGTTCTAACTTGCAAATATTCATCTGTTCATAATGGATCCTCAACGACATCTACAAAAGATTTTGAAAATCTTTGCGTCTGTGATTTTCGATTAAATATTAGAGGATGCGCAGAAGAAAATTTACTCGTGACCATAAACTTGTCGCTCTTTGTTTATTCCACATTCATTACCATAACTTCCATATTGATTATTTATTATTTCTTAAAAATTAAAAATTATTCGATTTTAATTCCCAGCCTTAAAAGTAATAAATTTTTTTATAAGATTCGCTCATTTTATATTATCGAAGGATCAATATTATTATTTAATTTTTGTAAGTTTTTTTTTTTTTTTTTATTTCCGATAAAAGAAAAAAGAATAAGTAAGCAATAAATACGTAATAAGTAATAAATAATAAGTAATAAATAATAACGATAAATAAATGTTGTTTATCGATAGTTCGTGCAGTCCATTCACTTTGCCTTCTTACAGGTGTGTATTCTAATACGATTGAAGCCGAAAGTAAGCACATTCAACTATTTCAATATTTTTATATCACTATTTTGACTATTTGATTATTATTGACGTGAGTACAGTTTGTCATGACCTATCTACAGTCCTTCCCGGAATTCTATGTGTGTTCTATCCACTATGTATACTAAACGCTAGTTCAATTGGAAATGATATATTTGCGTTAATTGTTTTCGTCATAAGGCGAACGATTAACAAAAACATTGTAGTTTATATTGTAATTTTTTTATTCACCTTACCACTTGTAATTATTTTACCACTTTCATTCTTTTGTGGATACTATGCCGATATCGGAAAAGTGGATAAGGCTATAATTTTATTCATGATACGTTATTTGGTTTGGTCCGTTTGGACTATTTGTTTCTTATTTCTGGTAACAAAAAAAAAGTTTTTTTTTTCTTTTTGTAAAAATTTCAATATATTAAAGAAACGCGTACATACTTATATATAACCATTTTATTTAAATTTATTAAGATACTTTGCATTTGGCATAAATACATAATGATAATAATATATAGCATTCAACAAGAAAAGCGATATAATTTTAATGACGAGAAGCTTAAGTTCAAATTGGATCGACTTAAATCAGGTGCTGGAAACGTGAGTAAGAAAACCTTTACATATGCATATATACATGTACGTACACTGTGATGATTCTGGATCCTAATTATGCATCTTGTATACATAGCTATCACGATCCATGTTTATCGTTTCGTTAGTGGCAGTGTTATATTCTACCTTATGCATAAGTTATGGACTGTTTCACAAAACAAAATCAACATTTATACATTCGGTTAATATGATATACATTTGGGTCTGGAACGTTGCCATTCCCGTTGTTCTCCATATTAGTCAAATTATTCATATATTCAAGTAAATATCATTTTCTTACATTTTTATTTGGTTTTAATGTTTGAATCTGCTTAAAATGTTGACTTTCGAACATTATCAAGCTCCCTTAAAGTACGTCCCAATTTCTGTTATGGTGTTTCCGGTGATCTAGTTGTACCATTAGTAGCATCTCCAATCATCTCAAATTTCGAAATAATTCAAAATGAAAATGGTATTTTAAATTTTTTTTGTTAAAACATATCAAATTATAAAATTACTTTAATATGTACTGAATCAAAATAATAATAATAATAATAATAATAATAATAATAAATTCTTATCATAATTTAGATGAGAGGCTGCCACCTTGTTATGTAAATTCTGTATATGAAAATAATTTCCTTACATGTAAAAATTTTTCAAACGATCATATTAATAATGATAGCATCAAAAATATTAAAGAAACAAACCATTTCGAAAGATTGAAAGAACGCCGAAATGATCAAGTTATCGGATTAAACTCCTCTAAAAGATCATATATTAGATCATTATCATCTAATGTATCGGCAATTATTTGCAAAGAAACTTCAAAGGAGAGGAATGTTAAAAAAGATTGGTTAATCGAGGCACCTAAAAAAGCACTCATTCGAAATAGTTTTTTATCCCAAAATATTTACACGTAATCTTCTTCTATCAATGTTTAATATTAATAGTTATAATGATAATAAATCATTTTATTTATTTAATCATCATCATTGATAAATATTCTTGAATAGCAGTAATCACTGATGCAAGAAAATATCTTGATCGAACTCTCTGAATCATTGAATAAAAAAAAAAGATTGATTCTTATTTAATAATGCATTGCTTTACAAAAAAACTCTTTCTAAACAATTACCTTTTTATTGATCGAACAAAACAAAACTTTGTATCAAGGACTATTACGTTAATAACGTTGAATGATTACATTTGCCTAAAATGAATTTTCTAATAATTATTCTCTTTACACTTTCAACAACAATTGTGGTTAGTTTTGCACAATTCGGTCCTCCAGGCATGGGTAGTCCGGATATGGGTGGTCCAGGATTTGGAGGTGGTGGAAATCCGAAAGGTGGTAATCAAGGCTTTGATCCATCAGGTCTCTTGGGAGGAAATCCAAAAGGTGGTAACCAAGGATTTGATCCATCAAGTCTTTTAGGTAATGGTGGTGGTGGTGGTGGTGGTGGTAATCAGGGCTTTGATCCCTCAAGTTTATTAGGTGGTTCAGATCCGAAATCTGGTAATTCTGTACCAGGTCAGAATAAACAACCAAAATCCAGTTCTCCAAATGGTAATGCGTCAAAAAGTCCTTCAGGAAATGCTGCTCCAGGAAATGCTGTTCCAGGAAACGCAAATCCAACATCAAATCAAGGCAAAACCCCTACTTCTAGTTCTTCTCCGGCAGGAAGTGGAAAAGGTGCACCATCATCTGGAAGTTCAAATGCCCCACCATCAAAAGGATCAAAAAGTAAACTAATATGCAGTTATTGTTATAAGCTAACATTAATTTCTGTTTATAATATCATTAATACATGACATAATCTATTCTATATAGGCAAAGCTGCTGCACCGGACATTCGCAAAATACCTTGGCAAGAAAAAGAAAAAGCATGTATTTTGGTCAGGTAGATATAAATTCAAATTTTAATATAATTTATTTCTGAAGACAGAATGAACCGTGCTAACTTAAACAAAATCGCAGCGGGCCCCCTAACAACACTATCATAGAACCAGGGACTAAACATCGTATATCATGGAATCAGTCACCTTGTCAAATGAGCTCAAGAGTTGTTGGTATGTTTCATGTTTTCTTGTATAACAACTTACAAGCAGTACCGGATGAAAAGGCAAAAAAAAGGGATTATTCTCCTAATGGCAAGGTAAACGATTTTCAGTCAGCGACAAAAAGTTTAAAATCTTATTTGATATTTAATAGATTTCTCTTTATTTGTAGATCATATACGACTGGGGACCATATCCTATTGCCACTAATATAACAAATACCACCAATAATTATGACTGGTGAGCAATTAATCCTTTTTTTACAAAGAAGGCTAATTTCCAGATAACTTAATCTCGTAAATGTTATTCTTTTAAAAACAAGGACTGTGCCATATCTAAACGATGAACCGCGAATTACAAATGCATCAAACTTTTATATTCGTGTAGAAACAATTTCAAGATCTGGAATTTTTGGTGCCACACCACCGTTAGGAGGTACATATGGACCAATTTCTATATCTTTGGAAGAACCACCACCAGGTTGGAATGAAACCCATGTTGATTCAGTTTCCGGAGGTCAAAAAGTTCATATATCATCTTCAACTTGTTCTATCAAGTTCTGTAATTGGTTGGGATGGGCTGTTTTGATTTTTGGAATTATCTTAGAGACCATATATTTATAATTTTTGAAAAATATATATATTTACTCAATTCCTGTTAAAAAATGAACACATTTTAATACGTAATAAGTTTGTGATTAACAAATTCAAAATATACATTTATAGTAATTTGGAAAGTTTAAATAATTGAAATGGACAATTAGAGTTGTATATAGAATATTTTATTCATTTTTTAGACAGATTTATTTATGAATTTTAATATTATATGTCGTACGTCAAATTCAAGGAGGCGTCAAACCGGTTTGTCAGATTGAAATGGATGTCATAACGATAATAACAGATAATAATTAAAATACTATTTACGTACATATTCCACTTTTTATTCGTTATCTGTTATTGAATTAAATACCCAGATTAGATTATGTTCCAATGGATACATATTCATCAAGGGATAATGTAATAATGATAAAGAAGATTACTAGTATGCAGTCATGTGATTGAAGCTGCATATTGATATATTTATATCGATATGTAGTGTCTTTGAACGGCCTTATGTATTTAGCCGAAATTGAGTGGCGAAGCCAATGTCTAGTCAAAGTACAAAATGAATCACAGTTTGGGATTTGACTTTGAAAATGACCTTATGGACATAAGAATTATTATGTTCTATAAGGTTATTTTCACCCGATTTAGCCATAAATTGGCATAATGATAGGTTTTTTTTATGAATAAGTTCTATCATTTATACAGTATTTAAATGTTATAATGACCAGCGATATAGCTGTTGCCATGATTATGACATATTTCGTAGTTGGATAAAAATCTTTAATGCCATAAAGTCATCCACAATATCGCAATGCTTTAATGTTATATTTATATAGTATTATTTTACGTGAAGTATAGTAAAAGTGCAATATAGCAATAATTAGGGGCCTGCAAATTACCTATTTTGTAGCCCTGTCCGCAAAATTTTGCGGCCGGGCCGGGCTGCAGGACCCAATGCAGGCCTCTAGCAATAATACTGTAACATTACTAGCAATAATGTATAAAAATCATTTTGATCTGAGTATTTATTCCTATTAAGTTACTATGATACATATTTTCCGGATGCCTTTCAGTTAGAGATGGATAAGGTAATAACTTATTTTTGCCCCAATACTTACACATACATATTATTACTAATTATTCTTTATGATGAGTGATTATTATTCATCACGTTTTATAATACACAGTTCTTTACTTATTATTACTTATTACGATAATGAATAATAAATAATACTTTACTCAACTTCTCATCTCTAATAACGATAAATTACCAATTCCTCTGATAGAAAATCCGCTTTGAGTGTAAAGATATAAATTAATGAATACAATTAATGGTTTGATAATACATTTGATTTTTTGTTAAATGTCATAGGCTGGCGTTAATCAATATCATGCGATCTATTTCTAAAATATAATGGTACCCTATCCATGGGCAATATCTTTACTCTCATTAAATAAATATAGAAATAAAACCGTTTCCCAATTCGTCTACATGCAATCAATCATTTTGTTGGATGCGGCTGTATTAAAAGTGGCAGTATCGTACTAGTATATAGCGAAACTTTTAAATACTGTAATAGTATAAAACTACTCTAGTATCGCCTTCAAAAAATTACGGACACCAATTATATTTCAAGATCAGGTGTAACGTGACATGATCAGGAAAATTCAAAGTTCGTTTTACCAAAAATCGTACCTTTGGTGCCTTAATAAAAAGTTTTCCTTGTGCGATTTTACTATTAATCTTACTAACACTTACCACAATACATACTCTAACTTAAACGAGCTTGAAAATTTTTTGGAACACTGCAAATAGGTCACGTGCCCGTACTATTTTGAAGGTGATACTGGGGAAGATAATAGTATAAATCAGCTGTGGTTGATAACGGAGTACTCTATTGACTCTATTTTTAATAATAAAATCTTTGATCTTGAATTAGTGACCAAAGCATACACGAAAACGAATAAGGAATAAAAAAAGATGCTTTATCAATTTATATAATCTAGCCATGCTAACTGGAAGGGATCAATAAGAAAAAAGCGTTGCTAATAAGAAAAGGTATGAGACGAAGCTATCCAGTAAGATCATGAATAATGCAACCAAACAGATGATTTACACTAGGCAAAACATCGAATATGAATATGTGCAATATGGTTAAAGTAATAAAACCTTATGTTAAAGTAAAGCCTCTTATACATTAAAATTTTGCAATAATTTTTTTTTGTTAATGCGCAGAAGGTGTTATTGGCGCCGATTATTAGAAGACCTAATTGGTGCATTATTCATGATCCTACTGGGTAGCTGTGAGACGGGTGAAAAACCTGTCATCGGCTTTCAATTTTATCTTGTCCCGGACACAATCATAATAAATCAAATAGATTGAGCCCAGCACAAAATATAATTGAAAGCCCGATGACAGGTTTTCCATTGATAGCACCCATATGGTTTGTATATATAATAAAAATGTCAAAAAAACAGTTTTTTTGCATTTTCGGTCTTCATAGAAAGTTAAAATATTTAACTGTTATTAGTTAAAAAAAGTATGTTAGATAATCGATTATTTCGACTATCAATACCATCTTACTTAATTCTTTCTGCCATGGTTAAAGGTTGAACTGTCTTTGGGACCGAGGCCAGACTGAAAAGCATTAGTGGACCTGTCTTATTAGATTGGACCAGACCGATCCATTACTAAAATTCGTCTAGCTTATTTATTACTATACTAACTTATTTACAGTTAAGCTAATCGTTCATATTTTACTAATTGTTCATCCTTCTCTTGCTATGTTTATTAACCTAACTCATGTATATTTAACCCAATACATCCACGCTTTACTTATGCCTATATTTTAACAATTGCGTGTTTTACTAACCTATTTACTATATATTTGGACATAGATTTTCAGATAGGAATAATGCTGTAAGCCGTAATTTATGCTACAGTCTGAAACAAAAGCTGAAATCTAAATTTTAATACGTAGCGATAGAAAATAAAAATGCGGTTTATATTTTATTTTTCATTTGCTTTTAACAATGCTTAAAATGCTCAAATCTGTTTAATAATATTTTCTCATTATTACTATGATTACTTTTTGATGTGACTAATTAAACCTATTAATAATGCTTTTAAGAACATACTTTATTAATAGCAAATAGTAATTTAACTCAATATAAAATAGATATTATCATTGTAATACTTACAAACTCTGTTTATGAAATCGGTTTGTCTAAAACTGCTTGGAAGCAATTACTCATTTCGAGTATGAATTTTTATTTTTTTCGTTACTAATCAAACTTGTTACTAATGTCTTTTCGAATAAAATTACTTATAAAAAATTAATCTAATCTATTTTTAACAATTTATTTGAAAAACTATTGTTTATGTTACATGAAGTAGATAATATCCCTAGCTAAATATTGAAGTTAGCGATTCATCTCAACAAAAATTTGATGTTTTCGGATTTTTTTACTATAAAAAGTTCTTCAATTTCATCTATTGTAGTTATGTTGATATATTACTTTATTGTATGGGTCTTCCGTACAATCCCATACCAATAAGTAAACAATAAAGTACCTATAGGGCACGCTACAAAAATGGTTCGTCCTATACTCAGTGATACTCTACATAGAACAATTCCAATAAATGATGCCACAAGGTGGCAAGTAAATTCTCCAAAATTGAGAAAAAGCTGCTCCATAAATTCCATGATTAAGAAATTTAACAGCCACCAATGTCGAGACTTCGAATCTTCGGTTATAAAACATGAGGAACATAAATTTTACTTGTGAATACAGTATTAAGCCAGAAATTAATGAATTACAGCCCAAACTGGACCAGACCTGAACTGGACCCTAGGAGTACTAGGTATTACTACTAGAGATAAATGCTAAAACTGGTTTAAAAAATCTTTTTGCTATGTTTTGTTATAACTAGCACGTTCTGTTATTTGATATATAGTACAGATTATTTTATAAAAGTTTTTAATAAAGATTGTATGAATTAAAGTTTACTGAATATTATTTCAACTCGTTTTATCCGATGGGATGGTTTTACGCTGTAGTAAAGCGATTACTGTGGCCTTTTCATTATCAGTAAGCAAATTATTTTGCATTATAACATTGCAAGCACTCTCCCAATTCTGTTGAGTTTGTCCTTTGTAAGCAATAGCACAGGCTTCTCGCACTGCGAATGCGACGATACGTGCACGGCTTGAATCATCTTCAGCAATTTCTTTATCAGGATCCATAATTAAGTTTGAATTTGACATTGTGAAAATTTATAAGATTATAATGCTTTTTCGAATTTAGACAAAAAAATTCGAGTCGATTAAAAATTTTATTTAAAATTTAAATAACAAAGTAGCGTGAGAAGTTAAAGAAGATAACTCTTTGATAGAGTGAGTGTTCGTTTTTTCAATGTGAAAACAATTTAAAAATAATCTATTGTGGAATGTTGTCATTGATTTCGAAGATCTGGGTCTCGTCCAGTCTAGAACCGTCGTGACCATATTTGTACATTGATTATTTGATTTACTATTTACAATACAAAATAAATAGACCAATTAATTCAAGTATCACATTCATATATCACTTTAATTTTCATTTATAAATTTTAAACAGACTAAATTCAAAATTCCAGGGACCGACGTTATACCAATTATATATGTTACATAAAGATGTGATATAATGCATAACTTATTAAATCCCAAGCATGTTATTGTTTACACTTCATGCATACATTGATTACTTTTTTTAAATGACTTTTATGATTTTGGGGGATTTTTTTTTGTTTTAATCTGCATAGATTGCAGAAATGTCAAAATTAGTATTATGTAAAAGGATACACGCTTAAAGACAAACAATAAAAAAGATGTTTTTGTTTTTTTTTCTTTTTTTGAAATCCATTCTTTGGGTGTCTCAATCACTGCCGCTAAACAAAAACATCTAGTTTAGGTTGAATGAATTTTTTTCTTATAGTTATTTAATTTGGGTTAGCAATAATCTCTTTTTTTTAAAAGGCTAACGTTTGCCGCAGTATAATTGGCTAATATTAATTCAATATATTTCTTAATTGTTCTTTTTTGACCTATTATTCGATGAAAATATCACAATAACATAAACACAAAAAAATAGTAAATATAACAAAGATTTTTGATAAATTATTTCTTTATAATTTCAAATTTTTTTTACGTAGTAGTCTAGACTCTCACTTTGTGTATACTTCTGCTTTGATCTACATTGGATCTTCGTACCAAATTTATATTAAATTCAAAATTTATATAACATATATTAAATTACACGTATTGTACTGTTTTTATATGGATCTTTTACTGCAAATCGAGGCCTAGAGATAATTTTTATATGTATCAACGTACAGAATTGTACTTTGTACCAAATTGGAATACGCCAATGTGTATCAAAGTTTTTAATCTAGAGTATGTCTGAAGATTTAACCTTAATTTTAGTTAGGTTGTTTTCTAAGTTCAAAGCTTTAATTAGAACTCATAAATTATATTTAAATAGAATTACTATGAAAGTAAATAGAGATATTTATAAAATGCGATAAAATTTTACTGTACATATAACAGATGTAATTTTCAAAGCTTCAAAATGTAAGGTAAAATTGATATTATGACACAGGACCAATTATGACGCACTTTCGATATAATACCCTCTTAGCTTTATGTAGCATTCGAACGTTCATATCTCATTACTCTGTGATTAAAATAGTGCAAGTTTGGTATCATTTTATTCGACTTGATAAGGGAACAAAATGGTATATAAATCATTCGACTTGAATTAATGGTTCACGAATTACGTTAGATTTTATCTTAACTGCGTTAATTTACAAGCTACGCATAAGTAGATATTTGAAATTTTTTGTAATATATTTTTTGTAATATATTATATGTTTATTATTATTTAATATATCATAATAATTTATAAAGCTTTGTATATTTAAAAATAATTATGAAATTTGAAATTTTTTAAAATATACTATATATTTTAAGGATCTGGGTTAATAGCATAATGGTAAATGTTTCGAACCTCTAAATAGAAAATAACAGTCTGAATTTTACCAAAAACATGTATTTTGTAATATTTGTAAGAATGAGTTATAATTAAATGTAAAGCATATTTGAAAATTATTAAATTAGTTATGTTACTAACAAATCAATATTGTCAATAATCGAGTAATTTTTTCTAATAATTACTTGTTTCAAATCTTATCAAATACAGGTTGATTTAAAATAAAAATCTACTAGCAGTTTTATATAAAATAGGCTTGTTATTAATAAGTTTTAAAATATAATAACTATTAGTTAACTAAGATATAAGTATTTTTTAAATAATTTGGTTTGAAATCAAGTTTTTTATTTTGCCAAATTTTTTAAAATGTTTAATACTCAAATTAAAAAAAATATTCTAAAAATGTAAAGATATGATTTAGTATTGCTTGTTGCAAATACAAATAATTATAACTTTTTTATAGTACCATTAAAGTTGCAACTTATTATTACAATAAAATATAATATTAAAAAAAAATTCTTTTAGTTAACAACAACAAAAAACTAAACTATAAAAAAATGTTATAGCAAGGCATAAATAACATTATTTTTTTGTTCTATAAAAGTAGATTATTTGCTAATAAATTAAAACTATAAATACTAAAAGTAGATAGTTTAAAAAAAGATTAACCTCATATTACATTCTTTAATAGAAATAAAACTTTATTAAACTACTAATCAAATATTTTATCAAAAATGTATTCTTTAAACTGTTTTTTAGGCAAATTTAGTTGGATTTTTAAATTAAATTTAGTATTTTTTAAATAATACAATAAATTATTAATAATATAAAATACAGTTTACTTATAAAATAATTTATTAAAAATATACTTTACAAACTTTATTAGAAATTTTTTTTTAAAGAGGTGTGGTGACCTAGTGAAGTGGTCAGGTTGTCAATCCCCCAAGTGGTAGGTTGGGTGTTCAAATCCTATCAACAGTGAAAATTTGGATAATCACCTATGTAATATTCATATTACGGCAACTGTTACTAATGA